AGATTCATCAAAGCTTGTCATGATAAAACAGCAACTTCTAGTCCAGGATAAATCACATAATGGGATGAATGGAAAGCAACACATTTCGAGAACTTGCCTCTTCCTCAGAGCCAACATAACCATGTCCTACATTCACACTTAAATACTAAAATTACATGGCTATTATCAGATGGAGGTGCCTCTTGGACGCCCCCTGGGCGGGAGTTAACCCCTTCAATATTTTTTATCCATTAATATAGTAAGCACTGCTAATATGAACCAACATAGATCATGCATTGAATTTTAAAGTTTCAGATATTTAACGCAACATATGTTATATGTACCACAAAGTCTAAATACATAGATCAATCACAAAATCAGGGGGTTATAGTGCAAGCAATTGTATACGTCATTCACTCACTATATCCTTTTGGCTTTCAATGTTACATTCACTCACAAGCTCCTTTCGACTTTGATCCATAATGTTTGGAGTTTTGTGCATTGTAAATACGAGGCTAGTATCTTTACAGCTCACCCTTTTTGTTGGACTGCTGAAATATGCTGCTTTTATTATGGTGTCTGTCTCTGTTGGAGCACACGCCAGCACCACTATGCCAGAAGTGCGGCTGTGTACTGCTTTCCAGCCCAGATTTGGACATTGTGTCATTTCCGGTTTTCTGATTACGTCATATCCGGTTTTTATAAACACATGATGCACAGTGATAACTAAGGCTACAAAGCCAGAGGTCTTGAGGCTCCAGTGGCTGATAATAAGATGTGCACATATATTATCTATTGTGTGAGAGACAAAACATACCCCAGGGCTACAAGGGTAAGAACGTAGGCCCCACAGTAGCTGATAACAGAAAGTGCATACATTTTCATTAGTGCGTATATACAAAGCACGCCGTAGAACATGAATAAAAGGCCTCCTATTACACCCTAAACAGTACTTTATCTCATGCATTTGGACAGTGTAGCACACACATCCAAAGTACTGCAGCGTGTGCAATGTAATCTCTACGTTGTCAGTTTGTGCAGAATTACAGTGCATCCAGAAAGTATTCACAGTGCTTAACTTTTGCCACATTTTATGTTACAGCCTTTTTACAAAATGGATTAAATTAATTTTTTTTCCCTCACCTTTCTACAAACAATACCCCATAATGACAACGTGAAAGAAGTTTGCTTTGAAATCTTTGCAATTTATTAAAAAAAAAAAAAAAAAAAAAAAAAACACATACATAAGTATTCACAGCCATTGCTCAATACTTTGTTGAAGCCCCTTTAACACCAATTACAGCCTCAAGTCGTACTGAGTATGATGGTACAAGCTTGGCATGCCTATTTTTGGGCAATTTCTCCCATTCTTCTTTACAGTACCTCTTAAGATCCATCTGGTTGGATGGGGAGCGTCGGTGCACAGCCATTTTCAGATCTCTTAATCGGGTTCAAGTCTGGGCTCTGGCTGGGCCACTCTAGGACATTCACAGAGTTGGCCCGTAGCCACTCCTTTGTTATGTGGGCTGTGTGGTTAGGTTCATTGTCCTGTTGAAAGATGAACCGCCACCCCAGTCTAAGGTCCAGAGCGCTCTGGAACAGGTTTTCATGAAGGATGTCTCTGTACATTGCTGCATTCATCTTTTCTTCAATCTTGACTAGTCTCCCAGTTCCTGCCACTGAAAAACATCCCCACAGCATGATGCTGCCACCACCATGCTTCACTGTAGGGATGGTATTGGCCAGGTGCTGCACGGTGCCTCCAGACATGATGCTTGGCATTCAGGCCAAAGAGTTCAATCTTTGTTTCATCAGACCAGAGAGTTTTGTTTCTCATGGTCTGAGTCCCTCAGGTGCCTTGGTCTGAGAGTCCAGGCAGGCTGTCATTTGTCTTTTACTGAGGAGTGTCTTCCATCTGGCCACTCTACCATACAGTCCTGATTGGTGGAGTGCTGCAGAGATGGTTGTTCTTCTGGAAGGTTCTCCTCTCTCCACAGAGAAATGCTGGAGCTCTTTTAGAGTGACCATTGGGTGCTTGCTTACCTCTCTGGCTAAGGCCATTTTCCCTCGGGCGCCCTGCTCTAGGAAGATTCATGGTGGTCCCAAACGTTTTCCATTTACGGATGATGGAGGCCACTTACTCACTGGGACCTTCAATGCTGCAGAAATTTTTCTGTACCCTTCCCCAGATCTGTGCCTTGATACAATCCTGTCTCGGAGGTCCACGGACAATTCCTTGGACTTCATGGCTTGGTGTGTGCTCTGATATGCACGGTTAACTGTGGGACCTTATATACACAGGTTTATGCCTTTCCTAATTATGTCCAATCACCTGAATTTCCCACAGGTGGACTCCAATCAAGTTGTGGAAACATCTCAAGGATGATCAGTGGGAACAGGATGCACCAGAGCACAATTTTGAGTGTCATGGCAAAGGCTGCGACTACTTATGTACATGTGGTTTTTTATTTTTAATAAATTGCAAAGATTTCAAAACAAACTTCTTTCATGTGATCATTATGGGGTATTGTTTGTAGAATGTTGAGGAAAAAAATGAATTTAATCCGAATTGGAATAAGGCAAACGTTAACTGCTGTGAATACTTTCTCGATGCACTGTAAATGCTGCATGCAGCAGTTCATCCAGGTAACCAATTCCCCATTCTCTGGTAAAAACCCAAAGAGTGGAGGGCGAGACTGAAGGGAAGCACCACAAATTGATAATGTGCATCCACGACAGCAAAGTGCAAGAAGTGTTGATGCCCAGCACAGATGGGGACATGCAAGTACACACCTTGGATGTCTATGGAGGCCAGAAAATCCACATGATGTAGGGAGGCAACCACCAAGTGGATGGATTCCATCTTGAACTTCTGCACATGCACAGAACAGTTTAGGCGCTTGAGGTCCAGGATCGAGCGAACTCCATCCTTTTTTGTAACCATAAACAGATTGGAATAAAACCCCTGAAACCGCTCCTGGGTAATCACTCCCTGGTGGTGGCAAATCCTGCTCCGTCCCATTCAGAGCCCACAGGCGGGGTGGGGGAGGTGAAGATTGGACAAAGAATTTCTCTGCTGGACAAGAATGAAATTCTATTTTGTACAAGGACTAAATCAGTTTGTGGACCCATTTGTCTGGGATAAGGAAGGACCATGGGCCTGCGAACCAGTGAATATGACCTTGAAGGGCTTGGGGCCTTTGTTCAAGCAGCTCTTGGCCTGTGTGGACGAAAGTACACTTGCCACCCATCATGTTCTGGATGTTATCCAAGGTACCGCCAAAGGGACATTCACACTGGAGGGGTAAATCCACCGGGGCCTTTTTTAGACATCTAGTCAGCGGACCAACACATAAACCAAACAACCTGCGGAAACACCACCAAGGAGAGCTTGGAGAGTAACGAGGGCTGCATTCAAGGATGTGTCACACTTATGTACGCAAGACCCCAGACAAACCTGTATTCAGAGCCTATTGTAAAAGCTTAGCCCACTCAGTCTGAAACACCAGGGACATGGCCAATACAGGCCAAGGTGGCAAACCAGCAATTGGTAAACATAGTATGGGCAACAGATTCTGCCTTGCGGGTCTGCAGTATCCCTAAAGGATGGATGTCTCCTCTGCAGGTATCACGATTGCTTTCTCAACCCAGAGATGTGGTGGGGGGGGGGGGGGGGGGGGGGGGGGGGGAGGAGACGACCATCATTTTTTTTTTTTCATAGAAGGGGGCCTCCTTAAAGGCCTAATGTACCAAAAAAATGCCTCATATGTGTTTTGTAAATAAATTTATCAAAATATGCAGGGTAAGAAAAAACCTTAGCAGACTTAGCCAGTTTTTGTGTACCAAAGAAGACAGCCACCTCATTTGCAACCCCTGAGGGGTCCTCAGTTTTTAATGTGTCTCGCACAAAGGTAATCAGTGTGGCCATCAGTGCCTTTTTATGCAGCAAGAGAGACAGAGGACTCATGGGGGTTTATTTACTAAAGCTGGAGAGTCCAAAATCAGGCTCCCTTCTGCATAGAAACCAATCAGCTTCTAACCTCAGCTTGTTCAATGAAGCTTTGGCAATGAAACCTGGAAGCTGATTGGTTTCTATGCAGAAGGGTGTCTGATTTTGGACTCTCCAGCTTTAGTAAATAAACCCCATTCTGTCTGTCTGAGGAATCAGGGATCGCATCCTCAGGGCCCGCAGAGAGCACATGACCTGGAGTGGCAGCTGTGCTCTTTTCTGCCTAGTGTCCTAATCCTATAGGTGGGGCTATAAAATCCAATGGTCAAGAATAGAAGAGCTGTGTCTGTCAATGAACACGAAAAAATATTTTTATCTCTTTGGGCTGATGGCTACAACCAGTAGTAAAACATTTATTTACCATTTATGGTTGTGCAATATTTAGACAACTTCGGAGAGTTTTTCACCTAATTTATCCTATGTAAAACTGTCACTGTAGTCAATATAATGATCCAGTGTGATGATTCTTTAGCAGGGATGTCAAACTGGTGGCTCTCGAGCTGTTGCAAAACTACAAATCCCATCATGCCTCTACCTTTGGGAGTCATGCTTGTAACGGTCAATCTTGCAATGCCTCATGAGACTTGTAGTTTGGCAACAGCTGGAGGGCCGCCAGTTTGATACCCGTGCTTTATAGCATTTTATCTATTATCCGCCCAGTAATGAGTGTCATCAGTACATTCCCCAACCTACCCCGAGTCTGTATCATCAGAATTTAGTTTCAACCACTATCGTAATTCATTAGAATTATACTGTCAAATTTGCTGCCTTTTTTGGATTACAATTTTTTTTAATCCCATGTTATTTATGATTGACAAGATGCACTATGGTAAATATTTTTTATATTATATTCTACAATCTTCCAACGTTTTAATATTTTATATAGTTTTTGAAATTACTTTATTTACAAATCTTTCAAGCATTCATTTTAGCCTGCAGGAAGTCCAAAATTGTAACTTTAAATGACTGTCCACCCAGGTGCACAAGACAACAAAAAACACGTGTAGCTCACCAGAACTTGTCAGGACGCTGAGAGGACTGCTGGAAGTAGTGAGTGCTGAGCCCGCACTGGCTGGGTTCTGTGCAACGCTGGCAGCTGCTGCTAAAGCTGCCAAATTCTGTATCTGCATGGCACTGAGTCCTGAAACACGCAACACAGGCAAGAGAACGCCACATGCGCATTAGCCATTATGCTAAACTGGTTTTATTTTTTTATTTTTTTTGGAAAGAAAAGGAGACGGCACATGTTGATTGGAAGGCAAAATGAAGGGGTGAAATCCTTAACATATAAAAGGAGAGGAAAAGGATAGTGAAAGATATTAAAATAAAAAAGCACACACCTGATGTTGTCTCGGTGGAGTACTCACCTCCCATGGGATGGAGGCCACTCAGGGAGTTGAGGTTGCTTGACGAGGCTGTCTGTTGGAGGAGCTGCAAATAAAGCTAGACATTACACCAAAACAAAACAAGAAGGAGAGTGAGGGCTCAGTCCGGTCTGGGGATAAAGTCTACACACCACAGATATCCACAGGGTGTACAAGAACAAGAGTTGTGAATGGGAAGGGGTAGGGGCGAGTTAAAGTACAATGGAAACCGCAAAAAAAAAAAAAAAAAAGATTTTTGTTACATCACAGCAAACTGAGTCACCACGTGCATAGGGGGGAAAAAAAGACAACTCTATAGAGCAGATTTATGAAAACTGGTACAAAGAAATGGGCTTTTTCAAACTGCTTAATGTGAGCTAGCATAACATCTGCAAATCATCCGTTTTCATAAGACGCCCTCACAGAACTAGCCGACCATGCTGTAGCTCTCATTCGGCTATAGCGCAGTCGGCAGCTAGAAATGGGCTAACAAAATCCCAGGTGCCAGGACACAGTTTCTAGTCGCCATGGCACCTGGGATTTGTCATGCCCTGCATTAAACTGAACTACATACTGAGCTAAACTGAAGACTGAAGGGTGTACAAACTGATGTAAGCTGAATCCGTCTTTTCTTAGCAAAAAACGTGACTGAATGGATGACATCCATGTAAAAAAAAGGGGAACTTTAGGCTAGGAATAAAAATGGGCATACAGGCAGGATTTGTAATGTGGAAGAGACATGCTTTGTCTCTTCTGAAATGAAACTACTTACCTGTCTGTCCACCCCTGTACAGAAAGCTGCGCAGATGCAGCTCACTGCACAAATTCGACTGCCAAATCTGACGGAACTTCTGCAGATGCCCGGGAGTGATGTCATTGTCACTCGGCCAACGATAGCAGCCAGCAATCCGAGACCCGGAAGCCATACGCTGGCGGTGACTTCCAGGAATGACGCAATTGCTGGATTCAAGTTGACTATAGTTTTGCTTTAAAGTAATTCATTCTTATCCTCTTACTATCCCACCTAACAGTTTAGATAGCAACTGTGAAATTCAAATTTACCTACTTCACTTTCCATTCCTACATCTTTCCTTTCCCTATTGGCGTAAATAATTTTGCAAAGCAAATAATGCAAAGCATAGATTCATCAATCATCAAAATCATCAGTTTACAATTAATTTTAAAATAGTAAAGTGGATTTTTGTCAGTTTTCGCAGCTTCTATCTTGGGGTTTGCTAAACAGCTGTGATATGTGAGGAACAATGAAGAACGTACAATTATCCATGTACACATAGTGTTAGAAGGGATAGCAAGAGGCAGTGCATCAGTCAATTTAAGCTCTTGCAGCGCCGCAATCTTTTTCAGGCAATAAAGCTCTGATTCAGAAGTCACCAGAATATCCAAGCTTCTGAGGAAGAGCTTTCTGTGCTAAAAAGGTCAACTGGCCTCAGAGGTGTTTTTACATTCCAGACAAATGGATGATTCGAGAGGCTCTAGTGATGTAAATCTTCCCACAAGCCAAAGGTTTTTCCACTCTGAATCTGGTGGCTAAAGGGGTTTTACACATTCAGAAACAAAATTTCTTCCTAATCTTTGCTCCGGTTTTCAAAAATCACCCCTTTGAGCCCACTCAATATTACAGAGCATCAAGCAAAGTATTCAGTGTAGTGTTCAAGGCAACCAATCAGAAAACACCATGCACTGCAATAATTTAAGACAAGTGAATTCTGACTGGTTTTAAGTTTGTGTGTTCTGCCCTTGCACTGTTTAGTGAAAAATACCACTTATGTCTTATTGACACCTGCCCAAATGAACTGAACACATAGAAATGACAAATGGCCAAAGTCACGCTCTAAAAATTACATTTAGAAGTCGTGTGTAAATGTGTTCCTTGTAAAAATGTCCTAAATATTTAGCTGGGTTCCCATTTAACTAAAGAAAATCACCTTAATGAAATGTCAGTGCAACTTAGAAAGCCCATAGGTTTTTGGGGCTCTGTTAGGGGCATGCTTCATATCTTACAAGCTGGCCACAGACTGATCGAAAGTTGGTCGGTTCAGCAGGGACTGGACGAAATTTGATTCATCTATGGCCATTCCCGTTTGAGAGGAGTCTATCTAACAACTGACTGGCTGCATCAGTGTACTCTGACAAAGGAATCCCGCTGTCAGTCTACAATAGCACAGCAGGGAGGATTCCTCCATCCACCTGGTGTGTGTGGATGGGGTAATCCATTCAGTTTTATTTTGATCTGACTTAAAAAAAAAAAAAAAAAAAAAAAAAAGCCATCTATAGCCAGCTTTACAGGAATAGTTATCAAACCAAATACCTTCCTGATGGAGGCCATTGTCTGACTCAAAATAGTAAGCTAACTGAATGAAGCACTGGTTCAGCATCCATCACATGAGGGGAAAAAAAAGAGGTGCACAACAGCCACAGTCGCATGTAAAAGTTATTACTGACACGAAAAATAAAACTCTATTGCAGAGTGAAAAATGTCAGAGGAAGAAGCCTTGTCTTTGGCTTTGTGTCATTTAAAGCAGTAGTAAACTCTTAGGAACAACAAGAAAAAAAAAAATGGGTTCCTACTGCAAAGCAATTTCATAATGTGCTAGTATGCACTGCATACTATCACATTATGGAGGACTTGCCTTAAAACGAAGCCCTCCCAACGGCACGCTGTCACCTCCATCTTCACCCGAACTTCCTTCCGAGCAGGTAAAAAATTGTTTATTATCACTTTAAGTTTTCACAGGCAATTGTAGTTGGAGTGCAGCTCATTAGTTTCTCATGCTGTTGATGAATTAAGTTGGAACGATATGATTAAAGAAAGAAAGACGCAGCAAAAGAAAGAGGGTGAAATACTGTATGGGGAGATCTAAAGTGGGGCCATCCGGTTGCATTGCTTTTGTTTCAATCAGCTCAGCATCAGTGAGCAAAGGGACTGCCTTGGAGCTAGTGGTTTTCAGTCAAACAGAAAGAACCAGCTGAAGGCCATTCTATAAAAATTAATAAAAAAGGACAGAGTCTTTGTGATTTGACACTGCATTAACGACCGTGTACTGATTACGTTAACCGCTATAGCGTAGGTTTGTGACAAGCACACTCCAAAAGGGTTTTAAATAAATCAATTTCAGGCTTCTTCTTCACGATGAGGTTCTAGATGTCCAGCTCAAATGTAGAACAGGGGTCCAAAGACATTATCTGCCAGGTAAATGGCACCGCAGAGCCAAACAAAACACAAGCATTACTTACTGCTAAGTACTGTGGTGCCAGACTGTTCAGTCCTGCAAGGTTCCCCCACACAGAAGCTGCATTTATTTGCTGCATCTGTTGCTGGAGCTGTTGTGCCATTCGCTTCTGTTCTTTGTCTTTCTGTGTGTCTGCAAATTTGACGACAATCGGAGAGGAACACCCCTAAAAAAAAACAAAAAAAAAAAAAACTTCAGAGTCAGATCCAGACAACTGTTCCTAGGAGGGCCACTAAAACAATGGATAGCCAGAGAAAACTGAGCAAAAACTGAAAGAGCTGTGTGTTGCTCACCTCCATGGTTTGTGCTTGGTGCATGGCTTTGATTGCTGTCTGTGCCATAGATCTAGTTGAAAATGTGATAAATGCACAACCTACAGGAAATAAAAGAGAAACTACTAAAACAACTTTGTCCATAGAAAGCCATGCTTTAGCATGCTATAACACTGCAACAAAACAAGCATGTTCAATCTGTAATCCTACTTACCCCTGCTCAACCCATCAGGTCCCCGCAGAATTCTGCATTCTTCTATTTGCCCAAACTGAGAGAACAGAACCCGGATATCATTCTCATTACACTTCTTGGACACCATTCCAACAAATAACTTTCTGTCTTCAACTGCTACAGGAAAAGTACCAGAAAGACAGTCAGGGAAGGCACGCAGGCTTGCTGCAAACAATTAGGCAACAGTAGCAGTCAGCAGAGAGATACTATTCTTTTGAAACAAATACAAGGCGACAGCATGTGATCTTAACAGTTAAACATTAAATAACCATTAAAAAATCTAAATTATATACATGAGTGTAATCCGCTTAAATTATACGTCCATCTAATTAAAAAAAGCAGGTGAGCCTTGCAACCTTCAGGTTGCTGATATCCAGGGGTCAGTTTTTATATAAGTTATATATATATATATATATATATATATATATATATATATATATATATATATATATATATATAATTTTTTTTAGTTTGCTTTACAACTTCCTGTTCCACTGCCATGCTTCTTGCACAACAAAAGTCTAAAGAGCAGGCAGTGTCATTCTGTCAATCCAATGAAGATGGTCATACCATGTACTGAAAAGGGGCACCACTTCTTACAATTATCTGCAAACTATAGATTGAAAAGAGAACAGTAGCCTGTATGATATTGGATATTTTGACAAGTTGCAATCTCAGATTCACCTTTAGATGGTGCTACAAATGAAACCGATTATTGGCTTGGAGCTACAAATTTGAGAAATGCTGAAGTTACTGAGACCAGAGCTTGTCATCACCAAGAGGAAAATGTAATAAATGCCATAACTTAGTACACTGCCTTTGTGCTTTCAAATCATAGCTTAAACACTTCACAATGCATGCATACATTAGAAATAATGGATAAATCTATAGTTTGCAAAAGAAAGAGTAGCTTGCTGATGCAACTATGGGCAATAGTTAAGGCTACACTCTCAAAGCAACACAAAGCAAGAGGAAGAGAAAAAAATGCAACCATGCAAAAAATTCTAGGAGGTCAAAGAGTTACCTTTACAATAACTGCTCCATTTTTAAAAACAGGTTATTTCTGCTCATGGCTTAATTCTGTACAGGCGGCCCCGTCATAAGCAAAAAGGTGTCAAATGACGAGACAGCAGAAGTGACAGTGGCAACAGACCATGAGTAATGAGCCTGTGGAGAATGCAGCGCATGCACTGTTCAGGAAGGAAGAGCAGCAAGAACAGGACACATTTCTCCACCTTAGGACTCATGCACACTGGGCGTAAAAAAATAAAAATAAAATAAACGCCACTTTTAAAAGGCGTTTGACTTTTTTCAGCCTCTAAATGTCCCTCTAGGTTAGCCTACGTGGCCATGCACACAGACGTTTACAGGCGTATTAGAAGAGTGCTTAAAGATTGGAAATAAAATTCATTACTTGCATGTACGTTTGAGCAGAAAAAAAAAAAGCACTAAAGCACCTAAACACCTGTAAACAAGTCTAAACGTTCCTAAATGTTAAGCATATTCAGAGCTTGTGCGTTCATTCATTTCAGTGGGCAGAATAGATTAATATCCTTCCAGGAGAAAAGCCCAGCGTTCACGAGGCCTTAAAAAGGCAGTAAAGTCATTTTTGAAAAACTGCTGACAGGCAGTTTTTTGTTATAACAGAAGAGACCTTAATGGTCGCTTCTGTCATAAATGCCTCTCCCTGGCTGTCAGCAATAATGTGATCTGAGCTGCACATGTGCAACACGGACCACATTTATGGCACCAAGTCTGTACTGTTGTGATGTGACTTTTGTGTGCATTCGCTGGAGTGGCATCATCATGGCCTGACCATTCAAGCAGCCAAAGGCAGAACTTTGACAAAAGACTGGGTGAAGCTAGAAGCACCAGGAACATCAGGAACAGTGACACTGCAGCTTTGGAGGGCTCCGTTTAACAGGTAAATCTGTCATAATGTGCTAGTATGTAGTGCATACTAGCACATTATGGCATAAAACTGCAGAGCACACGTTTTAACATTTTTTTTTGGCAGACTTTAATACTGCTTTAAAATGTGAGAAACACAACACAATTGTCAGAAAACGCCTGAGACAACCTCAGAACTAAGTGACATACCATTATTCTTCTCGCTGTCAGCTGGCTTCATCTGGATTGGATGATGCATCTAAACATAGAAGAGGAAGTTAAAGTAGGCTGGTAAATACTAGAATTCCACAGTACATTCACAGATAAACAGTCTGAATAATTTCCACTAAGTGCTGAAATGCTCACCCCAGGAAGAATCTTCATATTATGCAAAGCATTTTGTGCTTCTAACGCTGCTTTACGTGTGTAGAAAGTGATAAAACAACAACCTTAAGAGGAGGAAAAAAAAAACAAAACAGTTAGTGCCGGAGGAGACAGCTGTTTGTAATAAACTCTGAGTATATGAGCACACCCATGACCCGTACTCACACAAGAACAATTCTGCAAAACAAGACCTCAATGATCAAACCAATCATGAGTAGTCAGGATCTGGGATGGCACTCGTTTTCTAAAGCCCTTTAAAAACTATGAGTGGAGGCAGCCAGAGAACATTGGGAAATCAGAATGACCCCATAAGAGAGCATGGCTGCTCTCAAAATCCATCATGCACTCTTATAAATCAGCTGATTGTTTTACTTTGTTGGCCACTGTAAGAAACAGGAAAATCTTTTGTTAAATGCTACTATTCACAGGTTGAAGTGGAACTGAATTTAGGAAGCTGTGCTCAAGAATAAGCAAGCAGAGGGAAATGACCAGTCACCAGTAATGCCCGTCATCTCACTTTAAATTTCATGAAACAGCAATCAGAGGCAGCAGTGCCTTGGATCTTACACTGCATATATTCAGCTATGAGGCTATAGGTACAGGAGTGCCTAGGCACACTCACATACAAGGAAGTGGGCTGCTTATTTCCAAGAGGAATAAGAGACAAAAGATATGTTTTTCATTGCTCAACCCTGGTTCACGCGACACCAAGTATACCTCTCAAGTAAGCAAAGCCTATAGCGATGCCGTCCCTAGCCTAGTGGTGGGGAAAATGTTCGTTATATACCTTGCTATATTCAATGTGAACCGCACTGACGCATTTAACTTCGATCTGTTAAAAAATTTTGTCTTTCAATAAAAACTATTTGAATTAAAAGATATGTTTTTAGGGTACTACTTAGGCATGACTAATATTTCAAGATGTTCTCTATAACATAGCTAGCACATTCACTTTTTGGGTTGGTTCCACTTTGCGCAAAACACAGGAAGCTTTTGAGAAGACTCAGGGTTAAACGACAGCCATAGAGACATCAAGCCTCTAAAGTCTGCAATTGTTATTTACTTACTCAAGATATATCTGATTTTCTATTTCCTTTATTCTTGTCAATGTGCAACCATGTGAAGAGAAGGTGTAAAGATGTTCCCACTGAACAGAGAAATCTAACCATCCACATTTTTTATTCTGTCTAAGTACACCCAACCACTCTGAAAATGCTAGCTTCCCAGATGCCATGATGATCTAATTACTTTAATAGGCTTTTTAGGCAAAGACCTAGAACAAGTATGCAGAACAACATTTCTGACATCTGCATTCTTGCTCCAAGTCAGTGACTCAAAGTGGTGAAGTCAGAGAATGTCAGGAAATATAGACAATAGAAATATACACATACATATGTTTTTTTTCTTTTACTCTAAGGCATTGTAGGTGCAGTCATCTACAAAGAACTGTTTTCAGTTGTTACTTCAAAAAGCTCTCTACTGGAAACTTCACATAGAAAACTACAGTGACTGCGATTACAAACATCCTTCTAAGAATCCTACTACATGCTACTGTGTACCTACAGAGTATCCATTAGAATAGGAAGCAGATAGCGGATTCAACCTATCAATTCCTATCCAAAACTTAAATATTCGCTTAGCAGGGACTTAAAAAGAAAACTTGTACAAGAAAACAAAAGTGAAAGGAGCTGCTGTGACCACAATAGGTGTATCCATTGCAAGATCTATTCTCATCCATCATTCTGGCTACAGCTCAAGTGTTGGCAATGGTCCCCAGAACATAGAGGATGAATCGAACTAGCAGGGACAGACCACAATAAAAAAAAAAACTAGCATGGGTTCCAATATTTTTCTACTTGGCCCCCCCCCCCCCAAAAAAGAGAAAAGATTTGGATACATTTACTTTAAAAGGAGAACTCCAGGATGTATCGTGGGAAAGGACTGCGGGAGGTCAGTGAGATGTGTTACTCTTACGTCTGCGCTGTCCTTTTAAATACAAGGCACAGATTCCTTACACATTTCAACTGGTCTGCACCATAACTGCTGCTGCATCAACTACTACTTTGATTCATATAGTGCACTAGGAACAAAGTACTTGGCTAATGAGAATGTTGGCTTTACAAAGGTTTTCACAGAGAAGACACTACCAGGAATTAAGCTGGCCATAGAAGAGTTGAAAAAGGAAAGTTCTGTCAATTAAACAATGAAAATAGCTCATACAATTCTGCCATCAATTGTTTTGATTTTCTAAAAAAAAAACTAAACAAACAGCAGGTTGGATTAGGCACTTTCAATTGTGGCATGAAAGCAGATACGGAAAACGAACTATTCGACGATTGACATAAATTTTGTTTTTCGAATCGTCTATGGCCGGAATTGGAGGCAGATATATATAAAAAAAGAAATGAATGCAGCCTTCATTAATTCATCCTTAAAATGTATTTTTATTTATGCACACAACACAAGTACCTGAATATGACTTTGCATAAGCCTCTTGCAATCCACTGTACAACATATCTCAGACTGGAGAGGGAGAAGCAGCGTAATGAGCGAATTAGTTGTACTACATTGCTTACATGCTAATAAGGAACATGAGCAGCAAAAGAGATGAGCTCAGTGTGCTGCTTCTCCCCTCAATGTCTAATCACAGGCTGGGGGGGCTTTTTGGGAGGATAAAAACTGTGCTACTGAGCAGTAGCAGAGAAGAATCATGTCTTCTGCCCTGCCAGACAGGGCTGTGCTGTGTGGCAGAGCTGTGCTAGCCTTACAACTGGATGGACATAGAAACAAGTCCTTTGGCTGGTAAAACAGCTGACATCAGGGCTTGAAGAATTTGCTTTGAATCTAGGAGGCAGCTAAAAAAGTTAGAAGCCAGTTTTTTTTAAGTGTAGTGTGGGTTGTCTGCACCCAGGGCAAGGCAAGTAACTTGTACCCCCTAACTTAGTTACAGCAGAGCAGCCAGCCTATAACTCTGACATAACGGTGGGGTTATGGGTTGGCTGCTCTGCTGTAACTAAGTTAGGGTTAGGGGATGCAAGTTATTTGCCTTGCTTTGGGAGCAGACAACCCACACTACACTTAAAAAAAACTGGCTTCTAACTTTTTTAGCTGCCTCCTAGATTCAAAGCAAAATCTTCAAGCCCTGATTTAAGCTGTTTTACCAGCCAAAGGACTTGTTTCTATGTCTATCCAGTTGTGAGGGCAGCACAGCTCTGCCACAGAAGGAGGGGGGGGGTGAGGGTGATAAAGGGGGGTGGAGAGGTGTCACCAGCGGCCAAATTGCCATTGAACCCCCAACACAGACATGATCGTGGGCACCCCCCCCCCCCCCCCCCCCCCCCATGCACCTGGGCATCGATCAGGTGTGCGCATTCAACAAGGAGGCCCTAACCCACCCCACAGAAATAAGCAGAGATAGGGCTAAGCATGAAGTGTCTTCGCTATGTAATAATTCTCCACAGGCATTCGGCTCCAATCAATGAAATTCTGTCGCCTCCGTGCATAGCATGCTGTCCAGCATAAGAACCCCCACACAGAAACTTTCAGCCAATGGTGGCACGTGCGGTCCGGCATAAGAACCTGCCTAGCTGAAACTTCCAGCCAATGGCAGCCCAGCGCTCTGCACTCCCAGCCTACCACGGCAGGGGAGGGATTTAACTCTTTGAGGGCTGCAGCTGTTGCGCCTTGAACTTGTCAGCCCCCTCTAAATATTGTGCCCGGGGTGATGGTATCAGCTGCTCCCCCCTACACTACGCCACTGATTCAGACAACAGCAAATGGGCCGACAATAGCCCAGGTACCAGGATGCAATTTCTAGTCGCCACACAGATCAGGTGCTTGGAATTTGTCAAGCCCTGGCTTACATATGTGCATATATGGATTTATCCATATAGTTAGCAGCTTGCTTAGATCCCTACTTTAAGAATGGACGTTACTTATCTGCCTCTATCGCTACACTCCGGGAACATGTAAAGTAATCCACAACAGAATGACATGAGCTCAACCTCACTGCCAACAGGAAGGCCAGAAATCATCATGACATGTACTAGGACTTTGGCTTACCTTTACTCTGTGGAGGATTCTGGCTTCTGTCTCTCAAAACGTTAATTTCATAGACGGCGCCATACTGTTCAAATAGTTCCCTCAGTTCTTTTTCTGACCAGCTGCGAGGGATCTGTCCCACAAACATCTTGATTGAATCGGGATCCGGGTGGTCTGGATGGTCCATGGTGCCGTTCATCTTCTTGGATCTACAACAAAAGGCAATTGGCAGCTTCAAACGTCAGACACACAAACACCAGGAGTGAAAAGTTAAATGTTCTTCATGAGTTAACGGTGCACAGAGAGTTAACAAAAGCTCCACAATAAGAGTTAACTTGGTGTAATGTATGTGGGACGAATACAGCACACACAAGAACGTGAAAATCAGCAACTATCAGGAAAATGGCCACCTCCGCTACAACATCAGACAGCTGCATGTAATCAGAGCACCAGACACGCATACCTATGACCCCAGAGACAGGTGGAGGTGAATTAGCTGCTTAAAATGAAAAAAAAAAGTGAAGTCACACTTGAACCAAATGACAAAAGTGACGAGGATTCCATAAAAAGGCAAAAAAAAAAAAAACTTAAAGCAGAGATACCTCTCGAATCTAGAGGGAGACGACTCAAAAATGACACTTACACAGGACTGGAATTCAGAGAGCAATGATCCACCATCATCTCAGGCAGGAAATCAAGTTTAAATGAAGCCATGGTCTGTCTAATTTGCCCCCCTGGAATAAACACAAGCAAGACAGAGCTCAGCTCCGCCCAGGCAAGCTCAGAGAACAGATGAAGACACTACACAGAGCAGGACAGGGGAAACATAGCACAAAGCCCCAGAGAACAAACACTACGAGGGAGAGACGACAAGCAGAGTCCTCAATGAACCCAGCATTGGACAAGACAGACAGAATGGACTGGGAAGAGGCACAAGGGGTGCAATAAAAGTTTGTGTTCGCTTTGAAAGGGGGATGTTACCATGTGAAGGGAGGCTCAGTAAGGGCACAATGAAAATGCTGATGCACGGCGCTTGTTTTGTGTGTTTTTCCCTGGCGAAGCAGTACTGAGTGCAGCATCAGATAAACAGAATGTCAGATCAATAGAGATAGGGCTGAGTGACGGAGCGGAATGGAATAAAAATCGCCCGCTTGACTCAGCTAGGGTGGTGGAAGCATCACCCGCTACACATAGGATCTGGTCACACAACCCCCACCAAAAAACGCAGGACACCTTTATATCACGGATCTGTTTGTATGCCTGTCATTCTCCAAACGAGGCAATCAAAACAGATTTCACACAGTCAATAGCATGTTCAGGCGGTTTCACTGGCATTATGAACCAAAATAGGGATTGACAAGAGTTCCTCATAAACGGACATACCTGCCTAGGTATTCATTGCTGGACATCTTTCTTCTCCTCTATTACAAAGATTCTGTCTTTTTATGCTTCATCTATTCACTTCCACTGTAACCATCTAAAGGGCCCCAAATACAAGCCTATGGAAATACAAGCCCTGATTGACCCATGGTTTAGGGCTGGTCATACATTATACAATATTCCTTTACATTTACCAAAACCATATAATATGAGGTCAAACCAAACACTTTCAATGTGTATGCAAACAGGCTGGCCCTCGCACTACATAGTTGAAGGTAAGTCTAAAGGAAATTGAATAAAAAAATTGTATAATGTATGGCCAGCTTAAGGCTGGCTATACACTATACAATTTTGTGTCCAATTTCTGCCCAATTTCCTTTAGATTTACCTTCAGCTATGTAGTGCAAGAGCCAGCCTAATTGGATACAACTGAAAGTGTTGTTTGGGTTTGACCTCCTATTATATGGTTTTTGGTAAATCTAAACCAAAAATCTCAAGAATATTGTATAATGTATGGCCAGCTTTAGTCTCGCCACTGCAGCCATATGACAGGAGGCTGCAGACCTTCATAAAACTGATGAATCAACATGCCTCAAGGGCTCCTAGGGAGCAATGGCTGCACGTTACTTGCCTTTTAGGGCTCGTTCACACTTGACTGTTTTACCAACGCTTGCCAAACGCCCCTATAGCAATTGGCAAGCGTTGGTCCGGCGTGTGCGGAGTGGTTTTTTTAACGTGCCGCGTGCGCAGTTTAGCGGCGGTTGCTAGGCGTTTGCCGAGCGTTAAAAACTCCCCACAAACGTCTATAATGAAGTTTAAATGGTGTTACCGCTCCGCAAAAGCCCAGCCGGCGGTTGCGGAGCGGCTCCATAGACTAGAATAGGAGGCTTCAACGCCTCCTGACTCGACCAGAGGCGCCGTTTTGCCGCGACGCTAACGCTCCCGTTAGAACAGCACTATGTGCTGCAATGTGCAGAATTGTCCGAGGCATTTGGGAAGCGGTAAAAAAACGCTTCCCAAGCGCCCCTCTGCCGCCTGCACACAACGCTAGTGTGAACGTAGCCTTACACGCCACTATCACATGCCATAATGCACAAATGCAAATTAAATCTAAACCGACTTATTTTTATTTAATAAAGCAAATTACATATAAATTATACATAACCTTCAGCTCCATCAAGCCCTTTTGCTGCTGCTTGGCTAAGACCTGGAAACGCTGGAAAAGCAGCCAAGACTAAAAACCAAGCTGCCCTAAAGGGGCTGCTAGGTTACTGGGTCTGCAGCTTACATAGCCCTCTGTACTACATGCAGTTAAACACCCTAACTCCAAGCTGGCACAAAAAATATTTTCTACATTAAGGCTACGTTCACACTAGCTTTGTCAGCAGGCGTTTGGGAAGTGTTTTTAACGCTTCTCAAACACCTATGAAAATTCTGCACATGGCAGCACACAGTGCTGTTCACACTGGAGCGTTAGCTTCGCGGCAAAACCGACGCCTCATGTCCAGTCAGGAGGAGTTGAAGTCTCCCATTCAAGTCTACGGTGCTGCTCCTCAAACGCCTGGCAAGCGTTTGCGAGGCCTTTGCGGAGCGTTTATACCATTTAACTTCATTATAGGCATTTGTGGTGCGGTTTTAACGTTTGGCAAACGCCTATCACCCGCCTCTAAAAAATTACAGGGGGTTTGAGGAATGTTAAAACCGCTTTCCAAACGCCCAACGCCTGTCAATTGCTATAGGGGCGTTTGGCAAGAGTTAGAAATAAAGTCATGTGTGAAAAGCTTTGCCTGCTGAGAGCGTTGTATAAAATGTATACAGTAAATGGACTTCTGTTCCGGCAGCGAGAAGAGAACTTGTCTCATACCGGAACAGAGTCAGGCTGAACGGCACTCAGCAAAATGCAGATTTGTATTCTCTGAATGAATACAAAGCTTCCTCCGATTGGCTGAGGTGGAGAGGACGGCAGATTAGGTATGATCTCTTCCTTAGCCAATCACATACAGCTTTGTATTCATTCAGATAATTCTGTTATATTTTGTTCCGGGTGGAAGGTAAGAAGTTCTCGTCTCACTGCCGAAACACAAGGCTAAAGCTACGTACAGATTATATGGCACGCCCAGCGGGCTCACCTGTTAGTATAGAAAATAGTTTGTTAGGGCTAACTTGGACAAAAAGAACTCGTTAAAAGGGTCAGTAGAACTGGAATTCAACTTCAAGCAGCTGGATTTCCCAAATATTAAACATTAAAGTCATTAGGAAAGTGTGAAACACTATCATAGCACTGCAGGATGAGCTGGACAAGCCATGAGGGAACGATGCCGATCCTTCTCCAAATCCCCCTTCCCCTTTAGCCCTCCCTACTCTCCTTACTCCTGCCCCTCTTTTACCCAACATGCTGCCATGCAGTGTTCTCTCCTTCCCGAAACAAAACACAGTATTGTGCTACCATGGTGCCATTGAAAATTAACTTCACTGCAATGTACAAACGCATGCAACATGTGTTAAATGTTCTGTTAAGCCTGTACACACTACTAGTTTTTTTGGGTTAAACCCAGCGGGCTGAATGAAAAAATCCCAACATGACTGCTCAGGAGGAGCCGCTGTACTATCTGCTGTTAGTACAGCGATCATTGTGTTCTAATAGGGGGGACAGCGAACACTATGGTCATTGGCTGAGTGTGCTGATTGGGAGCCGATCTGCGATCTGCAGACCTTTGTCGGTCATGCCCAGGGGCGCACTGACAACTCACGGGGCCCCCGGCCAATAGGGGATCATGGGGCCCCTGTGTCCTTGCCCAAACTCAAAAAAGCCTATGAAAAAGGTACCAGGGGCATCTCATGGGGCCCCCTACTGACCCCGGGCCCTGAGGCAGTGCCCAAGTTTCCAAATGGTCAGTGCGCCCCTGGTCATGCCCCTTTGTTTGGCCGGCTTCTGTTGGAGCGGCTGCCATACACACGGGTCGAATGGCGGAAGGTTTCTATTGACATTTGGCCTGTGTGTACTAGACTTTAGGTGTGAAGGGGCCTTCAAAGATTTCCCCTCACTTACTGTCCTGGTGACAATGGCTATACCAAATCAGAAGTAAGGGGAAATTTTCAGGTGCATCCTAGACAAAAACTAAAACCGCTTTTTCTTGTGCGTTGTCAGATGGGTATTGCCGTCTGTATCCCTGAGGCAGATTTTCCTTAATTTCCTGTCTGGTGAAACCAATCACCAGGATAAAATAACTGAAAAAACATCTAATGGAGCCACAGTATGCAGCAGAAAACTGACAGGAGCTCTAATCCTTCCTCAATCTATCCAGAATTCAATGAACATTTTTTTCATGAAAAAAGTTCTTTCCACGGTTTAATTACTCTGTTTACATCAGGGTGGATTTGATTTAAATCACTAGTCAGTAAGGCTTGATTTAAATTCTAGTTTTCTACATAAAGACTAATTCTTGCTGGTATAACTTTAATATACAAGTAGATGAAGATTTTTAGAATAACAACTTTTCATATTAGTTTTTTTATCCCCAGTTTAATAGGTTAATCATTCATATTTGGACAACTTTCTGTTGTACTTAGGAAGGAGAAAAATAATCATTACCTTAATAATAACAATTTAAATAGATTTATTCAACAAACAATAACATTCCAGCATATGTGATTTGCTTAAACATCCATGTTTGGTAACTAATTTGGCTAAACAAAATATATATATTTTAAGAAACTTAGACTGTCAGCCCCTTCCTCCTCACACTTAGTTTCACTTTCTTCTTGTGCAGATCTATTCCACTCCAAACAATCAGAAAAATATTGTTTCTATTCACTGAACTTCTTGAAACTTAGCACTGAAGGGGTTGATTCTGTATTCAGAGGTTTGTAGAAGTTAGGATGAAGGTCTTTTTCTTAACTCTGTTCATGTTATAACATTTTTGCTGTGAAGAAGAGGCATGTGATCTCCACTGAGTCAAATTCAGTTTTGAGAACTGCAAAAGTAAACCAAACATCTGTGATAATATCTTGTAGGCAGAGAAACTGCCCAATAATCTTACAAAAACCTCTGGAAGAGCATGACATTGTGAATGGATTCATGGAATTTATTTACCAAAAAAAATAAACATATACAGCCTTATTCTACATAATTAAAAAACGAATCTTTATTTCATGATGGAATAACCTTTGGATGGTAATATATTTTCCTCAAAAAGCATTTTATTAAAAAAAAAATCCGATTTAAATCAGAAAAATCCGATTTAAATAAAAAAAAAATCCGATTTAAATTAAAAAAAATCCGATTTTTTTGATTTTTAAAAAAAAAAATCATTGATTTTTATCCACCCTGGTTTACATGCTTTTATGAAAAGCTCTAAAACTATTACAGGCTAGTCACATGAAATCTAGTCTACAGGCAGCCTGTCCCTCTTTAATACTTATTGATGATTGCATAAACGTTGTGTTTATATAAGAGTGGATACATTGTATGCCTTTACCAGAGTGTCAGACTACCAAGAAGCAATGTGTGGACTTATAACCAGATGGTAAACCTTGCCAGAGAAAGGGCTCATTATAGAAATACAGCTCATTATAGAAGATCTGATATGCAGTGCTGGGCAGCAAGCTGGTATAATGAAAAGAGAACTAGAGTGAGGAAACGGCTGATGAACCACAGAACATAAAGAGCAAACTGCTCCTGACTGGGTGTTGTGTGTGTGATATACAGATCTATTTTTGAAAAGACTGTTTCCACAAATCTATTTGCATTGATCACCGTTACTTGGGACATAACCAGTTGTACCAGATTGTCCGGGTAACAGTTATGTCCTGGAGGTGGAAAGCAAGTCTGGCCCGTTGCCACCACACAGATCATTACAACACCAGTAAAATCTGTGTGTTAAATAAGCAAGGGGTGGAGAGTGAAGATTTCCAATGTAACAGCACAAAGTTTATACAATTGAAAAAAAAAAAAAATGTTCTAAGCTGCCTTCATTTTACATGCCTTTACTATTGAAGAAGTCTTCAAATATTTTCATTTACATGTATTTATTCGAGTAGCAACAAGGTACAATAAGCCTACAATAGCCTACCCTGACCGCAGCTAAAATGGGTGTAAACACAGTACCGGGTTTACATGCGTTTTTGCCTTGTTCTCCCGTGGCTGCCGGTCAAAATGTTCCTATCCTGAACGCTATTCTTCCACATTCAGGAGAGGGAGGTTTAACCTCACCTAAAGGCAGCAGCTCTTAAGCCCATGTATATAGAGATCTGACGAAGAAGCCGATGCTTCGAAACGCGTTACCACCCCCTTCTTGCGGCACTACACTCCCATGGTGAAGTCACATTCGCCCGGCAGCCATCTGCGTTCCAGCTTGGTTTCATCACAGCCACAGCCGCTGGACGCAAACAGTGTGAATCAGTAGACCTGGCTCTCCTAGCAGCCTTGGCCCCTAGATGTTCATCCACCTCTCCATCAGCCTCCGGGATCTCTACCAGGACGACGTCTACTCTGAGGCACATGCCTTTTATCCACTATCTAATGAGTTACCCAGTTATTTTGTTCAATTAAACTACCTTCTAATACTGCACTTAGTCTGGCACCCCTCTCTTCTTTTCTCCTCCATGTACAGAGTCCAGCTTTACTCTAAGGGTGCTGCCTCCTGATGTTGCTGATTACACCATATCTTTTTACTGTACAATACGACTACTCCCTTATAATAATCTGGACTATAAAATCTTCCTTTTCTCTCCAGTGCCAATATCTAAGGCCATGTATATACATGGTCAGATAGGCTTTTAAGAATTGACTTTAGGAGCTTTTAGAAAAAAAAATGCCAAAAGTTACTAAACTCAAGTTTAGGTGCTTCCAGTGTACATTGTTATTATTATACAGGATTTATATAGTGCCAACAGTTTGTTCAGCGCTTTACATAATGAAGGTAGATGTTACAGTACAGTTTGGTAGAAGAGGAAACAGAGGGCCCAGCTCGTTAGAGCTCACAATCTAGGAGATACATGAAGCCTAAACCTCCTTGCATGATCTAGCTTGCATTCTGCATCGCACTAACTGGGTGGTGCGGATACCATCAGAATTCATGCTCAATATTAAAGAGCAGGAAAATCCCCAATCGCCTGCCCTGTGGGTCAATGTTTCCTTTTAGGACTACCAGAAAGAAATGTGGCGCTATGTGCAGCAACCTTAGGGACCTCCATTTTCAAACCTGTGAGCCAGCTATATACGTTAAGGCTCCATGCACACTAGCTTAAAAAAACGCCAGTACTTTAGGCAGGGAAAAACATGCCAATTTTGAGCAGTTTTTGCACTATTATTATTATTATACAGTATTTATAAAGCGCCAATAGTTCGCTCAGCGCTGTACATTACACTAGCATTTTTTTCTGCAAGAAAAGAACTCTTAAAAATGCAAAATAGAAGTTTTTTTTCTGCCTCTAAATGCTGAGCTTAATAAACGCCTCTAGACTACCTAATGTAGGGATGGACAAATTTGGTTTGAATCTAGGAGCCAGCTAAAAAAGTTAGGAGCCAGTTTTTTTAGCGTGGGTTGTCAGCATCTAGGGCAAGGCAAGTAATCTTCGCCCCCTAATTTACTACAGCAGAGTGGCCAGCCAACAACCCCATCAGGGTATATAGACTGGAAAAAGGAGGGGTGAGAGAGACGGGGGACTCCCTTATCCCCCACCCGAAGACTGACCCCAAAATTACACCTGTATAATGTTCCACAGCTTTCAGATGCCTGTAATGTACTGGAAATTTGTAATTTTCCTAAATAGTCACAAGGACAAAAAGAGGGTGAATCTCCCAAAGCAGAATAGCACACTCTTCACAAAATAAATACAAGTGGAATTTAGACTTGCCAGCAAATTCCACATCTTGGATTAACGGACAGGACACAGGCAAAGTATTCATAGACCCTGGGTTATAGGCTCGTATCTTTCTGAGGCTGGACACGCTCACTGGGTACCTCCCTATAACCCCATGCCACTATGTGAAGCCTTAGTTTTGTAGTAAGAAATACAGAGTAATGGATGGGAAGTGACCTACGTCCTGTACTATACACCAAGATATGGAATTTAAAGGCCAGTTAAAATTCCTTTCATCTTAAATCATACAATACAGGACACATGCAAAGTATTCATAGACCCGGAGACACCCCTATGCAATGAATGAGAAGGGTGGGCAACAACTAGGCAAAAGGAACTGGCAATCAGAGTTCTTATCTCCTGATGGTAGAATTGGCAGCAGTTTTCCTCCTGAGATCTGGGGACAGCATTCATTTCAATTGGTGCCATCTTAATCAATGTGACCTGTGAAAAAAGGGTCCTGCACGACTTTTCTATGACTTGAGTATTATACGCTGCAATGTTAAATCTCAAAAATCGCAACTTTGGGGTTGCTGCAGTGTGATCTGAGCCTAGGCAATCCATAAGCCAGATCAAAGCCGTAGATTTGAGGTAGACTCTAGTAACGCTATGCCCAGGAAATGAAGAGATTTCCACTGAATGCTTTTGGAGCAGGGCATAAGGATGGTAGGACTATGTCCTCATTGAGGTGGAAGACTGATACCACCTTGGGAACTTGAGAAGAAAGAATAGTTTTGAGCATAAAACAACATTGTCTTTGTGAAGTATGAGGAATGACTCCTTACAATAGAGAGCCGCCAACTCAGAAATGTCTGACAGATGTGATAGCAAATCAAAAAAGTTACCTTGCATGGGAGGTCATCTAAGGGAATACCCCTGAAGTGTTCAAAGGGTGCTTCTACAGAGCAGAGAAAAACCCTAATTAAGATTCCAAAGAAACATGGGGTGCTGCTATGGGGGGCTTAATGCAAGCTACACCTTGAAATAAACTTAAGATCACTCTATCTTTTAAGACCTTGGCTTCGAAAGTGGTGCCAGTAAAGCCAGAAACTGAGAAGTAGGATGGAATAGAGAGCCCCTAGACTGCAGGTCTGACCTGTTGGGAAGAGACCCAAAGAATGCATGAAGGTAAAAAAAACCTTCAGCCTTTACAACCACTTAAGCCAAGAGTGTTTTCTGCATGTACAATAGGTCCATCACCTTCAGACATTAGTACAAAACTGAAAATTCACGAAGTGGGGTAGGGTTATAGGGGAGGCACCCAATGGACGCGTCCTCGAAAGCCTGTCAGTGTCCATACACCTTAAAGTGGTTCTAAACCCTTAGATATACACCAAGTGAAGTGATGGGCCTCAGGTGGTACACAAAGATAAAACAAATCCTCCTACATATGTTGTACCCGTTTGCAGTCTTCTTTTCTCTACAATAGCTCAAAGTGCTGAATTTATAAAGCTTGTCTGAAAGTTCAGAAAAAAAAGGGAGTGGAGAGTTGAAGTTAGACTCTGCAGAGCTCAGTGAGGAGAGTTGTGAGAGCTTATTGAAGGGAAGAGACAGCCCCCTCCACACAGCTCACAGAAACAGAGCTGAGGCTGTCAATCTGATGGAGGTCCCTATACAATTTTTCTCTTGGTGTCAGGAAAACTTGTCAGAAGTGACTCATGATGTGAGCAGACGAAGGAAGCAGCAGACAGAAATGACACTTGCTTTGGATAGAGGCATGTACACATTATAGAGGGATATGATTTGATGATTTGATCATATTTCATACTGAGATTTACAACCACTTTAACCACTAACCTACAGGGTACATTTTTTTTTTTTTGTGACAGATAGAGCTTTATTTTGGTGGTATTTAATCACCTCTGGGGTTTTTTTTATTTTTTCTTAAACCAAAAACCACTGAAAATTAAAAAAAAAAAAAAAAGTCTTTGCTATAAAATGTTGTAAATAAGTGATTTTTCTCCTTCACTGATGTGCGCTAATGAGACTGCAGTGATGGGCACTGATAGGCTGCACTGATGGGCATTGACAGGCATCACTGATGGGCACTGAAAGGCAGCACTCATATATGGCACTGATAGGTGGCACTGACTGGCAGTTAGGCAGTACTGATAGGCGGCACTGATGCACACTGATAGGCGGCACTGATGCACACTGATAGGCGGCACTGAAAGGCAGCTCAGATGGGCACTATGTGGCATGGATGAGCACTGGCAGGTGGCATGGATGAGCACTGAGAGCTGGCACTGATGGACACTGACAGGTGGCGCTGCTGGGGCTACAGAGATCATCAGTGCTCTGATGATCAGTGTACATGTCCCCTCCGAGGAATGCCGATTACTGACTCTCCTCACGAGCTGTCAGCGTGACAGCTCGTTGGGAAAGAAATGCCGATAACCGGCATTTTCCTGTTTACATGGGATCAGCTGTGATTGGACACAGCTGATAACATGACGGAGCCGACATCTTCAGCTCTTTCCATGGATCGGTGATCCGGGAGCTGCGCATGCGCGGTTAGAATGGGAGGACGTCATATGACGTCCTCCCAGAACGAGAGAACCACCTTGTATCCATTATATTACTATATGGCGGGCGGGAGGCGGTTAACCTCTTGCCGACCGCGCATAGCCGAATGACGGCTTCACCGCGGCCGGCCAGTTCTGAGTGGACGTCATATGACGTCCTCCCAGAACGCGCTCTCCTGCGCGCCCCAGGGGGGCGCGCACCCGGCGATCTCCGTGATCGCTGTGTCCTACGGACACAGCTGATCACGTGATGTGGTGAAAGGCCGATCCCACCGGCCTTTTACCACGTGATCAGCGGTGTCCAATGACACGCTGATCACAGGGAAAGGCAAGTGCCGGTTCTCGGCTGCACTTTCCTCACGCTGTCAGATCGTGAGGAAAGTACTGCCGAGAACCGGCAGTTGTCAGAGCGGGGATCGGCACCGATCATCAGGGCACTGATGATCAGTGCCCTGATGATCGGTGCCCAGCAGTGACACCCGCAAGTTCCGCCCAGCAGTGCGCCCACTAGCCCCGCCCACCCGTTCCCACCACCTGTGCCCAGCAGTGCCCCCACCTGTGCCACTCTGCAGTGCCACCTACCTGTGCCCACCAGTGCCACCCACCTGTGCCCACCAGTGCCACCCACCAGTGCTGCCCACCAGTGCCACCCACCAGTGCAGCCCAGCAGTGCTGCCAGTCAGTGCCACCAGTCAGTGCCCAGGGGTTGTGCCAGTCAGTGCCGCCAGTCAGTGCCCAGAAGTGATGCCAGTCAGTGCAGTCTATCAGTACCCATCATCAGTGTCACCTATCAGTGCCGCCTATCAGTGCTGCATATCAGTGCCGCCTATCCGTGACCCCTAATTAGTGCTGTCTATCAGTGCCGCCTATCCGTGCCACCTCATTAGTACTGCCTATCAGTGCCCTTTAGTGCTGCCTATCAGTGCCCATCAGTGCCGCCTATCAGTGCCGCCTCATCAACGCAAATCAGTGAAGGAGAAAAAATACCTGTTTGAAAAATTTTATAAAAGAAACAAATAAACTTTTTTTTTTTTTCAAATTTTTTGCACTTTTTTTAATTTATAGCGCAAAAAGTAAAGTGCCCAGTGGCGATTAAATACCACTAAAAGAAAGCTCTATTTGTGAGAAAAAAATGATCAAAATTTCATATGGGTACAATGTTGCATGACCGCGCAATTGTCAATCAAAATGCGGCAGCGCTGAAAGCTGAAAATTGGCCTGGTAAGGAAGGGGGTATAAGTGCCTGGTAGGCAAGTGGTTAAGGTACGAGCCTTTAACCTAGGGTCAATTAATACTTCTCCTGTGTCCTGCACTTAACAATTAAAATAAATAAAATATTGTTTTAGTTCCACTCTATACTAGTCATGTGTATAAATGTAATTTTGGTTGAATGTTTGAAACTGAAATATTTTTAATGTTCAATGACAACTCAAAATTTCAATCTGGATTTTGGCAACAGGCCTACCCTGAAAATCTAGCCTTGGTTTCCGTTCATTTCTCTTTATAAGTGAAGCTGCATGTTAACATCACACATTTGCATGTGTTAATAATGAACTTGTGCAGCATTTTTGGCATTATTTACATACATTATATACATGTGCGCAAAAAGGCAGAATGCTGTTACTAAACCCAGGACCCTGCATTCACTATACCTGGTCTACCACAGTACAAAGAACATAGAAGGGCAATTAGTTTAGTAAATATAAACTGCGTAATATCTTTTCTCATCAGCCGTTTGAGCAGTCTTGTGACTTCTATCAGTGTCCAGCCGAACACATGTTAAAGCCTGTAGGAGGAGTTTTCATTTTGCTCTAGTAGGATGCAGAACCCCTGACCTCTGTCTGGACAGTGTGGATTGTCCCTGTGCTGATCACATACACTCTCCCAAGAAAAAAACCTCTCCCACCATACACACCAAACTGAGCATGTGCAGAGTGACTGATAAGAGGGGGACACTGGAAGAAGGGGAGGATCAGATAAGTCAGAATCAAACAGTGTTTTTACAAAATGCAGAGGATTAACCCCTTAGGTTCCACAGTGAGTATAACAAGCATGCTTTACTGCATATACAGACTGATTTTACTGTTGTGGGTTTAGTAACACTTTAAGCGCTACTGAAAGTGCTGCAATAGTGTAAACTAGGTTCATTGAAATATTAATTTTTCTTTAATACCTTTGAATGCAATGATGTTTACAAGCCCAAAGAGCCATCAGGTAATCACTTCTCAGTCAAAATAGAAAAGTGAACCAAAAAAGAAATCTCAATGAATGACAACTCCAATAGACTACTATAGGAAACATTTTTTTTCCATTGGTCCAGGTACCAAAATACATACCACTCCAACACAACCATTAACAATCCAGAGTATTCTGCCATATACAAAAGTCAGTGTCACCAAGGTACATATACCTGAAATATCTACACAGGACTGTCTATTCCGTTGCATCATTCAAAGAAAGTACATAAAAACGGATTGTTTACATTGCATCACTTGCAGCAAACATTAACGGTCTGAGCAGCTAGAATTGCACATTTACCAGGTTATAAAAATCATTTTGTCTGGCCAGCTTGACATTTACAAATCATGTAAACTGGTGGTGGATACAGCCAATAAAGACTTGTTGGCCAAACCATTACTGGGTAGTTGGCCAAATCATGCGGATGGAGCCAGTAAAATCACATTTGCTTGACATTTTTATCCCACACTGTTCCAATCTAATCACTTTCTTACATTTTTAAAGCCAAATTCCAGATTGGGCAGCACCAGCACTTTAACACAAAAAAAAAATTTATAGGGGTGCTTCTGTTCAGGGTACAAACCTTATTTTAACGGTGTCTTTAGATCAGTCATGTGACGTGCCTAGGCACCCTTCCTCTATTTTTCTATGGCAGGAATGTATAGTTCTCAAATATACAGATATCACTATTTACATCAACAATGTTCCCTGAATGAGTCTCCGATAATCCCAGGGTGCCTGCTCTGGGCTCATATAAGTAGGTTAAATGATGTTGGGCCAGTGGTGGCCAGTGCTTGGAGTGTAGCTCTAGAGTATGGAGAGGGCAAGTGTTGCTTTGAGATTCTTTAAATAAAGGGAAGGGGATCAGGGAAGTAATTTTTGTACAAAGAAAACATTAATTTTAAAGTTGACGTTAACAGTGAACCTTAATTGAAATTAAAATGGTTGTAAAGGCTGAAGGTTTTTTAACTTCATGCATTCTAAAAAACCTTCTGTGCTTACCTGAGCAAGATTCTCAATCTAGAGATGTACACAGGTGAAGCAACTCTACCAGCTCTCTCTCCTCAAACAACTGCTGCGAAAGTGGCTGCAGAGCTCTATCTCAGTGCCGTGAAGAATGAGATGGATCTCTGCAGTCACTTTTGCAGTAGTTGCCGCACCAAAATGAACATTCTGGTGCCAAAAGCGAAACCAAACTGGACAGTTTTTAAAAATTTATTTATTTTTCAAACGCAATTTTCTTGGAAAAAATACACTTTATGATACAAGATACAAAACAAAAAAAAACCAAACAGAATATACCCCATTTTTTTGGTAAAATATGAAAGATGATGTAAATAGTAATAGTAAATAGATACCCAACATGTCATGCTTTAGAATTGCTCACCCTCGTGGAATGGCGTCAAACTACAGTACTTAAAAATCCCCATGAGTGACGCTTTAAAACATTCTACAGGTTACCAGTGTAAAGGTAGAGTGAAGGTCTAGTGCTACAATTACTGCACTTACTGTGATGTTTGTGGCGATACCTCACATGCGTGGTTTGAACACTGTTTACATATGTGAGCATGGCCTACGTATGTATTCACAACTACGTGAGAGCATGATAAACTTTTTTTTTTTTTTTTCCCACTGTCCCTTTAAAAAAAAAAAAAAAAAAAAAAAAAAAATAAAAATCACTTTACATGCATCCCTTGTGATAGAAATAATTAGTGACAGGTCCTGAAATAATTGGTGACAGTCCTCTTTATGGAGAGATATGGTGTCAATAAGACCCCACATCTCTTCTCTGCAACGTAAAACATTAGATCAAAAAAAGTATTGATCTAGTACTTAAAAAAAAAAAAAAAAAAAAAAAAAAAGCCTTGTTTACAAGGTGCAGGAAAAGGAATTGACATTGTTCTGGTCCTCCAAGGGCACAGAAATGAGTGGAGGCCATCTTTCCTTTACTTATCTCTATGCCCAGTGCTGGGATCGGTCGGTGGTTTCTCAGGTAAGGCTGAGAACTAAGGAGCGGTGGCGGTAAGGGGAGTGGTTATTTTCAGCACCTGTATCAGTGCTTATTTTCATATCGGCCAATGGCTGATAGGGGTGTTTTCGGCCGAAACGTTTCGGCCACTGAATTTTTGCTGCATCCCTAATTTTTTTTGCTTATTCCGGGTCACAATCCTGTGCAATGTAATTTTGTCTCTTTTGGTCAGTTGACCGCGCTTATGCTCATCAGACGTTTTTCCGGAAACTGTACATGCCGTCATAACCTTTGATACTGTAGCTCGCGTCGTGAAAATAAACTGGAAACTTCCGTCAGAGTCACCAGCTAAGCGGCACCAACAATTTGCCCTCTTTAAAGCGCAGTAAGCTCTGACATAATTCTGTATTACTAGCAGCGCACACAGTGAATGACGAAAGTGAGGATTCCCACCTGTTAGCTATGTTTCTCATCACACAGCAGAAGCAAAACAATGTTACACCACGTCTGCTTTCAAGGAGAAACATCACTTTTACACCTACAAATCATATAGCATTTCCATTTTTTTTGGTCTCTCCCTTGTATGTATGTTAGGAAAAAAAAAACTAGCCTTTACTATCACTTCAAGACAATGTGTCAGGATCTGTTGACTTAGCATACACTTGGAGATA